CGCACCGAAAGATCCCAACCGTTCGCTTCGAGATTTTAATGAATTTGTGCTGTGGCTTAAGATTTATTTCACTAAACGCTGAATCAACGTGAATTAACTTATTACATCTATGTTTCAGTGCATTCTTACTAATCATTTTATTATACATTTGCCTCTGAATGACTCCATTTCTGGGGCCTGATTGCACGGTCTTGACTCATTAATTGGCTTGGAATGTACACCATACGTCTCAAACTTTTATTTAATTAGTATTGTATAAACAAATAAAGTCCGAATAACCGACAAAAAGCAGACTTCAAAAAATTAAAATAATAATCATCATAAAGGCAGTGTATATATATGTTCAGATATGAGCGGAAATTTTGTGTATTTTTCTGTATCTTATTTCACCCGCGTATAATGAAGCTTCCTTAAAGTTGCAAGAATTTTAAAATCGTTCCAATAGTATTGGAGCCTTCTTTGAAAACAACAATCAAACAAAATTTTCCCTTTTTATAATATTAGCATCGATAAACATGTGAGTTACATTTGTAGCCGAGTGTGCTCATTTTACAACATGTAATGGTTTGCGAGAATCCAAGCTTTTGATTCGCATTAGCCAACCTGTCCCTATCTACCACGTTGAGCTCACTGCAGCATTGATTTCATCTCGTTTTCTTTTTTTTTCTTTAGCCTCTAGTAAGTGAGACATATCATCCGAACTTTTCTAAATGGTGTCAATTACCTAACCCCACAAAGATCCACGCAAGTTCAATCATAATGTTTCCATAATTAATACAAGTGGTTACACATTTAAGCCATAGTTTGGCTTAAATACGTAATAGCTAGTAATAATGAATAAAATTGTCCGAATAGCTAAATAATCAATGACTTTATTCTTCAATAGACATACGCCTCTGAGTCTATCAATATACGTTATTAGTAATGTCCTATAGAAAAGATAAGCCGTGTATCCTAAGCTCGGGAAAATACAGGACTAATCAGCCCTTAAAAGGGTATATAAACCAAATCACTAAATAATAGCAAATTGATTAATACCACAACTACAAAAAGTGATTATCTATACTAATATTTGTAATATTGTTTAAACTTTTTTTAATTTTAATTTTTCTATACTATGCGGGTTACACGAGCTTAAAGGAGAATGCCAAAATACGGCTTGTCGCCGACAATAAATTCAATTTATATTTTATAATACTTTAAATTATCAACTATTAATAGATTTAAAAAAAGCACACCGTTACGAGTAATTTTCGTAAAGTTAATCAACGACTATTACATGAAAAGTACGCCATTTACAAAAAAATTGCCAGTAAAAAATTAAAATGACTAATCTGACGAAAATCGATAATCGTTATGAATTAATCAATAGTTATGAAAGTGAATAAAAATACAATAAATATGCCATGTTATAATATTTTTCTCTTTGGTACCGCACAAAAATATTTTTCCTTATTTTTTACATAACTGTAATCAGTAAAGATATAATAATCATAGTAAAACATAATTGATTATTTATTAACAATCGATATTAATTGATTGAAAACAATTTAACGTCCTATAATGGCAACACTTTTTTTAATTGTCATAGTCAATAATAAACATTACATTTGCGGTACAATTCGTTCACTTTGTTGTTCAGTGCTTTATGTTGTTTTCGAACTTGAATCTGAAACTTCTTAATTATTGACCCGGCTTTTAACTATGACCAGAATCTGTTTTACATGTTGACTCGGCTTTTAACTTGGACTGAACCTGTCATTCTCGTCGACTCGGCTTATTGTCACGGATTTGGAATCATGCTGCGATGTATCAACTGTGGCCTGAATGTCACTCGAATTAGAATTAGACACTCAACAGAGTACTTGTCTGTAAACATCCGAGATGAAATCCAACAAGGAAATTCTCCGTCAGATGTAAGTATTTCGATGTATGTACGACTAAAATGCTGTGGGTATTTACATATCAACATAGATCACTGAAAACATTAATATTAACCCTTACATTTTACCTACAGGTACCAAGCAACAGTGTGGTGTGTCATGAGTGTTGGTTGTTACTATAAATTAAGTTCCTGAAATTAGTCAATCACGTATTGGTAATGAAAATGTATTTATACATTGTGGAAGATCTTTAATATTGTATAAGAACTCGTATGTTAAACAACAAAACTGACAAAAGATCTGTTGTTGCGAAAAGGATTATGCCACAACAAGTAAGTAGAAACAACATTCATTTAATTATAATACATTACTTATAGTAATAATAATAAGTCAATTATTTGACATTTATAATTTACCATTATATTATGCTTATGCTTTGTATGGAATACAACACATCTAAACAAACCGAGCATGTCATTAACTATAGATAGTATTTTAAAACTAATGGGATGGTGTCTGTACTTTGAAGATATTTATATATAATCAATCCCAAATGATGACCTCTATAGTCTATGTGTTCCATATTTATGTATTCTATATGTTATTTAGTTGTCATAGTATGAGAATTCTTAGTTTTCCACTAAATAATTGTTGTGAGTTGTCACAAATATTATGTATTTAGATTTTGATTGGGTTTTTACCTGACTCGAAATTAAAATCTAAACTATATTTTATCTAGAATAAATGCTATAAACATTGAAAGAAATGATTATGTAACAATATTTCTAATGATTTTATTTCTTTTCAGCTCCAGTAATCAGACAGAATTTGTCACCCTTGTTGGCAAAGGTGTAATAGTTTATCTGTAAATTATACTGCACCATCTTCATCATCTGCAAGTTCTGCATCAAGTGTTCCAGATACATATTGTCAAGAATCGCCAATTCATGAGCTGGAGCACTCTAATGATGATAACATTATATCAGTCTCGAATTCCAGGGAAAATACTTGCAAGTGTACCTACAATAATTTTGGTGGGGCGTAGAACTGTATGTTGCTGTGCTCACATAATGACGATCATTTGGTATTTAGGATGGGCTAGATACCAGTCAAATATCGAAGCCAGCACAATTTTTAGATAATTTTTTACAACAAAAAATTGATACAACTGATAATTAAAAATACTAATCTTTACATGTTTTTTAATTTACAGATCCTTTTTTATGACTTAAAAGGTTTCGTCCTTTACCTCAAATCCATAAATGTATATAAATATGCTGTTTTAATGAAAAACTATGTAGAAAATTGTTGAAAGAAAAACAAAAACTTTTTTGAATATAACTTTTTTTGGTGAGCTTTTATTAAAGATATAATTTTCTATATTTTTTACCCTTTCTTATAGTATATCAACTCTTGTCTGTCGGTTCTGGCCGAAGTTTCTATGGAAGCTTGGCATTGTCCTTTACGCGGGTTAATCGCGGAAATGCAGCGAGTGATACATATGTAATTTAGTTAGTTTAAATGATTTAACGTTTCTAATAATTCGATATGTTGTCGACTGTACAATTTTCATTAAACATTTACAGGCGTAGTAAAAGAATAAATGTCATAATGCTCGACTTCGGTATCAAAATTAAGGGATCTAAAAAGAAGAAAACAAGCCATTTAATATGTAACATCGCTTTTCCTTTTATGAGCTTAAAATATGAAAATATTTATAATATGAATACAAACTTCTTAATACTTCAAGTAAATTAGTATTTTAATTAAAATTACATTTTTCTAAAGCGAAAAGATTTCTTGCAGTTCACTTTTTGAAGCATCCTCTCTGTTATCATTCAATTTATATTCAAATTTTATATACCACCTCACAATTATATTCCAAGATATTAATTTTTAAAAGGTATGATAAAAAAGACATTTAAAAAATAAATGTACGAACTTTTGTACACAGCGATAGTTTTTTCATAAGGCAACGTCACGACAGAAACCTACTGTGTGAAAATTGCCTTACGCGTCTTTTTTATTATATTAAAACGGAGACAAAACCGTAGACCGCTTAGAGTATAAAATTAATAACAATTCTATGTTACACGACATATAGGACACATCTCGTACCGTACAGAAACAACAAATGATAGTTAATAGGTAAAGCTTGTGATGATGAATGTATGTTGTTTCTCTTCCACGCAAAAACTGCTTAAAGAAATTTTGTATATTGATAATTCTAAACCAGAAATAACTTATAGGCTACTTTTTATCCGACTAAACAGTGTCCTAGAGACCAATCAGCCGAAGTATTAGTGTTTTGGGTCAGAAAAAAAAACTTAGGGTTTGATTTCGATATAAGAGTAATTGTAGTACCAAAAGTTTTTTTAAACCATATATATTCGTTTGACAAGCGTGATTACTAGCGCAGGATGGGTGACCAAAAACATACCATTTGTTTCTGTTATTCCTTCCAGATATTGAAATTGGAAATAATAACAGAACAGCAATCCATTAATTGCTTTCTTTTCAAATAAACATTGTACAAATTAAATTGGAACATACATTTCCCTTTGTGGATAAAATTAAAAAACCGCACGCAAATTCATGCCGTCTAAACTTTTTTAAAAGTTAACCCAAACGGTTATGTCAAGCTACAGAACATAAAAACAACGATGGGATTAAATAATTCGATGTGTGTGTAAATTAGTTTTAATTTTATTTACTATAAACGATTTTATAGTATGAAATGACATTACAATCATTATTTTAATGTGTCGACAAAGGAGATAATATTACAGCTCCGCATTACATTCTTGTACATTACATGTTGTAGGAGACATGTGTCATGTTTCAACATGACGCGTTCGTCTATCATACTTTATGGAAAAAGGGAAGAAAAATAACCTTAAGTAATTTTTTTGAAAGCCACTTAGTTGTACACAAAATATAACTTTATCCAAATCCTATTACATATAAAATTGGTATAATACTATAGATATTACAAGCTAGATAAAGTGAAAAAATCAGCTTTTTAATAACTTTTTCATTATGAGGTAGATATTATATAATTACTCGATTCATTACTTTAGCTGTACCACATATATAGTATAGCTATATAGCTCTTACCTTAGAGTTGAGCATGATCTCAGGAGCCCTGTACCAGCGGGTAGCAACATACTCCGTGAGGAACCCTGTATGATCGTGGTCAGGGTCGGCCACTCGCGCCAACCCGAAGTCGCAAATCTAGACAAACAAGATAATGGTCAGCATTTTTTTATTTTCATCTAATCAACCGTAGATAGTAATATAATAGGAGTGGTTAGCTCGTTCAGTCTGCGATACGGTTGTTAAGCAACTTTCGCAAGGGCTGGTCATAGGATGGGTGACCAAAAATATTATCTCGAACTCTTTCGTGGTTCGGAATGCACTTAAAGCCATCGGACCTGGCTGTATCTGCAGTCGTTTACACCCACCAGTTCGCATTTGACTGGTGGCGGTCATGGCCCATTCTCTCTACAAGGCCATCCATAGGAAAGGCCGGTGGCCCCAGCAGCTGTAGGCTGATGATGATGATGACCGTAGATTAGACGTCGTCCTGTACAATTTTATGAACTCATATTTACAACAATCGTCAATATATGCTGAAATTTATTAATATTCCGGGAAAGCTTTATATTAACTTCCTTTCCTAAAAAAATACAACTTTATTCGTGACACGCACACAATAAAGATATCGGCGAACAGCATTCAATTTATATAAGTATATAACAATTGCTTTTACTTGGATAAATAATTCTTACTTGACGTGAACTTGGTGGACGTGACCCTTTTAATGATTCGATTAATACTAGCCAACAGAATATCTCACTTTAAACAATAAATACAAATTAAAAAAAAAGAATGGCCCCCTTAACTGTATGGATATTAATGATAAAAGATCCCAATTAGCAGTTCAATATTTGAAGTGTAATGAAATGAGACTAGCAGAGAAAAGCTATTAATTTCCTATGAACTATCGACAGTGACATTACCTTGTTTAGGTTTTAGTACCTAAGGGCGGTGCGGAGAAATACCGTGAAACATGTTTTACCACTTACAAGCGAATTAAGTTAACATGTGGAAGTTTTACGATATTTAATATTATAAAGGCGAAAGTTTGTAAGTATGGATGTATGGATGTTTGTTACTCTTTCACGAAAAAACTACTGGACGGATTTGGATAAAACTTTACAGCAATATAGGTTATACATCAGAATAACACATAGGGTACTTTTTACTGGGAAAACTTCTCACTCCCACGGGATACCGACTTCCACGCGGACGAAGTCGCGGGCGTCCACTAGTATAACATATATTGCAGGACATAAAGTCAAGAGAGGTTCTTTATCGTTTTCATTAATATTGCTATGCTGAAACTTGTGATGAATTTTCGAAATAAAAGATAGAAGTAAAAAACAATCGATAAGTCAGTCGACGGATTTTCCTTAAGAAGTATACTATGTTGTACTTATGAGTGTGTACAGGTGTGTGTCTTTATTTTATAAATGTCCAACCAATGACTATTTATTATTATAAGATACGTTATACCCATCCATTCATTATTTTTTTAAACGACGTAAACTTTGTTGTGGTAGCGTTACATGATAATACAACCACAAAGGGCGCGAAGATATCAAAAATTATTACCTCCCTATTTGAATCATACAACGTACTTCTGTTAGAACGAGATAAACATACTGGCTTAGCTTGACGAGTCAATTACAATCTCCTCTAGTCATAGAACACGATGCACGAAAAAATAGCCGCGTTCAACGACGTTTTATTATTTTTATTAAAATAAAAAAGAGTAAGTACAGTACTTACACATGAAATGATATCTTTTTTACTTTGTCAATTTCAATGTGTAAATACGCAGAAAGGTAAAATGATAACTTTTTTACTTTGTCAATTTCAATGTGCAGAAAGGTAAATTTCAACAAATTTTCGTAGAAAATAACGAGTGAAAATGATAGGCACAACGCTTGCTAAAACGTGACTAAAGTGAAACTCAGGCCTTGGAACACATTCAACGGACTTAATTGCACATCATCGAATAACTATGACGTTCGGGCCATCATGACGCGTCACTGTTCATACTACGTTGTGAGTCGATCGAATAAACTACTGTATTTTTCATTCCGAGCGCATTTTCATTTTATCGAGCTCATGAGCTATTGGAAGTTTCTGCGACATTATATTAACCTGGCTTGTGAATAATAATTAAAACATTAAAAGCTGAAGAAATCTTCTATACAAAATTGGTCCTTCGCAGCCGGATACCTATAACGGATACCTATTAACCAGCGACCTAGACGTTATGGAAGATTACTCAACGGCTACAAAATTCCAAGATAAGGAGGCGTAGTACAGCTAAGTGGCAGTGTTTATCCGATTATTTCCTTGTATGTCTAATTTCTTTCCTTTAATTCCTAATTTTAACACGAACTTTAATTGCGTGAATAATTTTCAGACATACCTACATACTACGATATTTTATTTCTCATAGAAAATATTCGTTTAATTACATCGTTATTTATTGAAATATCTTATTATCTAATTATACGGACATTAATTACGTGTAATACAGATTTTAAACGTTAAGCAATAGCTCAAAATTGGTTAACTTGAGTTCATATTTGAGTAAACAGTTTTTATTTCGCCGTATTACATATTACACGGACTTTAATTACGTGTAATAGTAAATTATATGAAATTGTTTTACGTTAAGTTCATTCTCAAATTGCAGTATCTGATAAAATCGAGTCGAAACTGAAAACATATCGGAGGCGCGTGAGCTGACTGTCTTTCTACCTGTGCTGGCCTTGCTGTGCGGTGCTGTGCTTAAGCTAGCAAGTACATCACACTGCAGTATCCGCTTTAAGTATTCGTTCTATTGTTATCACCTTAATTTACGTTTACCAATTATATCAATTAGAAGCAAAAAATTGAATACTTTTATCACTTGTACCTACCTACATACATTTTTTAATTTTCATTTTGTTATCTATTTTCAATAATGACTAAACTAGTCGAATTAAAAAGAAAACGCAGTTCATATAAAGCTAAAATTACGCAATTTAAATCGTACTTTTCAATTCTTTCATCTATAGAAAAGCCTAGTCCAGTGCAACTTAGTGATTTAAACTTAAGATTAACAAAGATTGAGGAATGGTACGGTGAATTTGATGCATTACAAATTGAAATCGAAGGTTGCTTGGAAATTTCAGAAGCTGAATGCGAAAAAGAATATCTGTATCGAGAGCAGTTAGAGAGTGAATACTTTGCATTAGTTGGCAGCGCCCGCGAGTGGGTGAGCAGGTTTGCTTCGGCGCAGCAAGACAGTAAGTCTGTCTCCTCGGCAGCAGGTACTGTACTAACAGCTAGTGCACCTACTTTAACTTTACCTACGATTCAGTTACCTACCTTTTCTGGTCGTTTTGATGAATGGTTACGATTTCATGATACCTTCACATCGCTTATTCATTGCAATGAAAATATTCCTAAAATTAACAAATATCATTATTTACAATCATCGTTAAAAGACAAAGCTGCGGACGTTATTAGCTCGTTAGATTTTTCTGCCAATAATTATGATATCGCTTGGCAGTTATTGTGTGAACGTTATCATAACAACAAGGTTTTAATAAACAACCATATTCAGGCCTTATTCGATATAGAAATAATTACAAAGGAATCATCTATTGCATTAAGAAACCTAGTTGACACAGTGAATAAACACCTTAGGGCACTTCAAAGTCTAAACATTAACACGCATAACTGGGATATGTTACTCATACATATGGCATCAAGCAAACTCGACAATGCAACAAATAGAAAATGGAAAGAGTACATTAACAATTTTGAAAAATACCCTGATTTAGAAAAATTTATAAAATTCATTAAAGATCGTGCCGGTTTGCTTGAAACGATAAATATGAGTCACATAAAACGCAGACATAGTGAACCAGCCAAGTTAAGCTCGCGTTCATTTGTAGCAAACACTAATAATAATAATACACACATACAACAAACTACACAGTATTCATGTCGTTTATGTAAACAAAATCATGCTATTTATCTATGCCCAAAGTTTAAATCTTTATCTGTCTCGGCTAAAATTAATAAGGTGAAAAAATTGAAACTTTGTTTAAATTGTTTACGACACGGGCATGAGGTAAATAAATGTAGATTCGGTCCGTGTCGAATATGTGCCAAATGGCATAACACAATGTTGCACACTGAAGACCAATTACAGGTCGAAACTAAGGAAACTCCTAACACATTAAACAACAACAATTGTTTAACTACACAAGAAATTATTGATCCAAAATTGTATGATGATGCTCACTGTGCAGAAGAGGGCAACTCGTCATACCAACCTGAGGTGGTCTTGTCATCTACACATAATAGTTGCGTTCTTCTGTCAACAGTTCTCATAGACGTAATTGACAATGATGGCATGCGTCACACAGTACGTTCATTACTCGATAACGGCAGTACCTCTAATTTTATAACCGACAAATTAAGAAATAAATTAAAATTACCTGTTTATTCAACTTCGAGAACAGTCGAAGGGATAAGTTGCGAGCCTATTCGTATAAATTTACGTTCTACTGTAAAACTATTTTCACGAACTGAAAATTATACAACTAAGATAAATTGTTTCGTTATACCACGCATAACTCAAACATTACCTGCTACGTATTTTGATATAAAATCATTAAATATACCTACCAACATTAAATTAGCTGATCCAACTTTCAACTTGCCGTCTGATATTGACATGTTACTTAGCGCTGATGTATTCTGGAATGTATTGGGCAATGAGCGCATTTCACTTGGTAAAAATAAGCCAATCCTCAATAGTAGTAAATTTGGTTGGTTGGTATCGGGTGCAATGCATACACACACACATTCACAGGGGAATAATAGTTCGGACAATCAACAATTTACATACATTAATACAGTCCATTGCAATTTATTGAACGAAGTTGAACTACAACACAAGCTTGATAGGTTTTTTGAATTGGAATCAGTACCTACACTACGTAAAACTACAAAACAAGAAAATGATTGTGAGTTGCATTTTATTACTACCACAACACGACAAAGTGATGGTCGATTCATAGTACAAATACCATTACAACAATCACCAGAGGTGTTGGGTGAATCTTATGATCAAGCCTTTAACCGGTTTTTGTCTC